GGCTGAATTGCACAAAACGCATGATCGCACCGGCTAGTCTGGTGCGCGTTGCCATTTATTTTTACTTCGTTCTCTTCTTTTTCCTTCTCATTTCCTACCTTACCTTTAAATATGAAAAAACTGGTAGGAAATGAATTTTTTTCAGTTGGGTAGAGATGTGCAACAGGTTTCCTGAGTTGACAAACAACTCGGAGCTATTCAACAACAATGCGCTATGGGTGACTGAGATGATCCTCTATATCTCAATTACAATGTTTTTTTTTATGACAAAAAAAAAGTCCACTCAAGCGTGCTTGAAGAGTATTTGAGAAACAAACTGGAGGCGAATAATGCGCTCAGCATACCACACAGCAATGTGCTAGCCAAACGCAAGGAGCCAGAGACTCACCTGAACCCTCAACAGCAATCATATCCTCGTTTGATCGCAGATCGTGCAAACGAACTTTTCTGTCTTCCGATGCTGACATTATGACAGCGTCGTCTCTTGGCTACAAAACACACTGCACATCAAAACTGGCTATGCTGGGAACCGGCGCCAAATAAAACACTGCCTACGATTCACACCAACCCATAAAGTTCTCAGGGGCACGCCAAACGGAGAGGACCGTCTGGAAGGCTCTAACGGAGCTTTCGGTCAAGTCATGATTCCGCGGGATTAGAACTACGTGCTGCCGAGATTCGAAAAGGCCGGGGTCCCGTGGGGCCGGGACTCGGAGGAAAAGCTGCAACAGTCTTTTGCAGTCAAGTATTTGCCCTCAATATGATTTTTGTTTTTAAAATTCAAATTACTGGAAATGAATTTGCACAACTCTCTAAGTGTTCTGTCCCGCAACAGCCAGGCCATTGCGGCTATATCAACATTTGCTACACCTATCTTGGGAAAATACAAAAACGTCCAGTTCGAAAATTTATGACAGATTTCAAACGGCGCTTGGAGTAAGTTTCAGGTGACAGGAGTTGCAACAGATTCCAGCAATGTTCATGACAAAATCAATTTGACAAGGGAAACACGCTATAAACTCGAGATATTTCTCTGGCAAATCTTGAATCGATCCTGTCAGCCAATGTGACTAATGCCTTCACAAATTTTATTCCAACAGCCCCGGCAACGAAAATGCAATCAGCAAAAGCGGACTCAACGCGGGAACTGACAATGCGGTCATCAAAATCGAAAATCAGATTTTTATCTTAACCCGCGGAAATTATTTCCTGGCCAACCCCGGGCAGTGTCCCGTAGTCCGTGAGCAATACTGGATGAGATGTTTTGGCAGGAACGTTACACACGGCTAAAATAAGCGTCTTCCTCTACAGTGATAAATTGGCCAACGTACGTACATTTGTAGCAACATTATAAATTGGCTCCTCAGCTTTGAAACGTAGAATTGGATCTCTTGTGACAACGTCATGGACACAGAGAAGCGAATCATTGCCAGCCGAATATACCTTTTCACGCCTAAAAAAACACAGAGACACGTCGAACCGGAC